CCCCTCGACCACACGGACATTAGCTATCTACACTCCATCGCCGTGGTGGAGTTGGGAGTTGCAAGTTGCGACATGACCAGGCATGGGGCAAGGAGAGCATTTCCCGAAATTGGTAAGCCGAACACCACAGATCGGACAATTGCCGGTGCCCAGTTCCGTGGCGATTGATCAGCTTCAAAGGGGGGATTCGGGGAATTGTCCCATTCGATCATTATTATTAAGTCATCGCCAGATCACGTTCTGCATGACCCAGGGGCGAGCGAATACAGCGCAGGGCAGCAGGGCTCCCACAGACGGTCCAGCCGATGCCAGGCACGCGGGCTGGGAGCTTTCGCCGAAACTTTCGTTAGGATATCAAGGGCCTCAGGGCACTCGCAGCAATTTTCCAGTGGTCACTTTAGTCAGGAAGAAAAAGAAGTCGAAAGAATCATGATCATTTGGCTAGCATTCGGCCGGCACTCCTCACGACTGGAACAGTTCAGGCAATGCTCCCTTCCCTTCTACCACAACTTCCTTACTGTCCAGCTGCACCGCCAGTAGTCTGACCGGCTTGGAGTCGCTGGGATTCCTCCACATGTGCATGGTCCCTCGCTGGACAAAGATGTCTCCCCTCGCAAGACGCCTCTTCTCTCCAGAATCCAGCTCCAACTCCACTTCGCCCTCAAGCACGACACCATAGTCGATGGAAACGGTGCGATGCATGGGCGACTTCGCGCCGGGATCCATGTCGACCACCCGGAATACTGACCCGCCCCGAATGGTGATGCCGGGATGTTTCTGCAGGTAGGCATTGTAGGTGTCCAGGTCAGCGTTGCCGTTAAAGTCGGCGGGTATTGTGTCTGTTGCGTATGCGAGGCCGAACCCTGAAGCAGGAGAACCAGGGAAATTCAACCACGACGGGTCCGGGGACATTGACCCTGTAGCAGAAGTGCTCGATGATGACGGGTCGGCAGGATCAGCCGTTGCGAATATAGCTACTCCGTCTACATTGTGCGTCGTAATGTGCCGGGAGAACTTGGGCAGTCCTTCCACTTTGGTCGACGGGTCTGTCATGGTTTTCGTTTCGGGCTTATGGCCGATCTCTCCGTCTTAGGACATCAGGGTACGCGGAGTGCTAATCTATTGATGTGGCGGGTAAGTTTCGTCAAGAATAGCCATGGGGGACACTGTTTGGACGTGTGGACATTATATCCTTCCTGACGATGGTGCCCAATCGCTCCTGTCAAAATGACTGCCGAACACAGCGGGCGGGAGAAATGATTCCCGAGAGGAAGCGTGGGGCTGGACACGATCGTGGGGAACTAACGACGCCTGATAGAAAGATTGGGGATGTATGTATGTATGTATGTATGTCTCGCCCCCCATCAGTCCCGCGCAAGGTCTAGTTGGTTAGTTGGCGAGCTGCAATATTTTCGATTTCGGACCGCTATTGCCTCTGTTCTAAACCATATATATCTCAGATCTTGGGTCCATCCTCCTTCGATGCAGCCGCCGCCAAAAAACTCTCATCAACCCTCAGCACCCCGTACTGCGGCGCCGAACCGGCAACACCGACCTCCATGCAATATTCGTCCCAGTGTTTGAGAAGCTCCTGCAGCTTTTCAGAGTGCCGTGCCCCCAGGTCGTCAGTCTCTCCAGGATCGCTCCCCAGGTCGTACAGCTGCCATCTCCCGGGCCCAAAGGGCCTCGGGATCATGACGGCCTTCCATTTCCCTTTCCGAAGGGCCTGGCGATCAAACAGCTCCCATCCCATGACAGAGTCGTCGCCATGGATGTACTGCTGCTTCACCGGGTCGGACAGATATGGCACCCAAGATGTCCCTCGCATGGGGACGACGGCTCGGTCTCTGTAAGTGGTCCCCGGATGTTCAGTTCCTGCTAGTTGTAAGAGAGTCGGAGCAATGTCCATCACTGTCGCGAACGATCGATCAAGTTTGCCGGCCCGGGATGACGTTAATGGCGGATACCTCAGGATGAACGGCACCCTGATTCCACCTTCTGACGAAAAGGACTTGTAAAGCCTCAGCGGGGCCATCGCCGCAGACGCCCAGCGCGGTCCGTACCAGATGTAGCTGTTATATCGACCCATGTTCTCGTAACTGTTGTCGTAATATCGATCGATGTGGTCAAAGATGTTCTCCTTCACCACGGGATATGCCTCCAGCAGCAGTCCCTCGGCCCCGTTGTCGGACATGAACATGACCAACGTGTTGTCGTATTCGCCAGTCGATTTGAGATAGGACATGACACGGCCAATGTTCCGGTCCATGTTCTGCACCATGGCGGCGAAGACCTCCATGGTCCTCGAGGAGAACTTCTTCTCGTCCTCTGTCAAACTCTTCCATTCTTTACTCAGGGGTTTGTCGAGCGGCAAAGCAAATACCTCGTGGGCCTTTGTCTCGGGGGAGATGATGCCCAGTTCCTCAAGACGTCGCAGGCGCTTCTGTCTCAACACGTCCGGGCCTTCGTCGTAAACCCCTCGATAATCTCTGCAATCTTCCTCCGGAGCCTGCAGGGGCCAATGAGGCGCCGAGTAGGGCAGATAGGCAAAGAACGGTTTCCGCCTTTGATCCTCGCTTCTCTCTTGGAAATACTGCAGCAATTTTGACGTGAAGGACTCCGAAGAGTAGAAGTCCGGACCCAAGTCAGCGACCGAGACGGGCTTGTCATCTTCGGCATAGAAAGGGCCGTTGCGCTCCAGCAAATCGGGGACCTTTTCCTGGACCTGTGGCTCCCACCCGTAATGATTCGCGCCACCCTGGAGATTGTCAGCAAGCATTTTGATGGTTGCCGACATGCCTCATACGGGAAGCAAGCTGAATGATCGGTCGAACCCTCTCTTGGATGGATAGCGGTCCGGCGTCATGCCCAGATGCCATTTGCCCGACATGAGTGTAAAGTAGCCGGCATCTCGAAGGAGCTCAGGCAAGGCGGCGACTCGGTCATTCAGGTATCCTTCATAACCAGGTTGGCCCACTTGAAACTCTTTTATCGTCTCTATCATCGTCCCTAGGCCGGCAATGTCTGTGCATTCACGTTAGAAAGATAACTGTCAGACCGACATCTAGGGCTCCACTTGCGGTTATCCGTGCCGCTTAACAACATGGACCGTGTCGGCGAGCACGCCGCTGCGGCATGAAAGTCGGTAAGTCTGAGGCCATCATGGGCCAGGCTATCAATATTTGGTGTCTTGATTTCCCCTCCAAATGCGCCCACGTCCGAGAAGCCCAGGTCGTCAGCCACGATGACCAGGAAGTTGGGCCGCGTGCCTGCGTGAGGCCTCTCAGATTTGTCGGCCATGTTGCAGATGCTTGACGAACAGCACGCGATCCCATAAACGAATCGAAAGAGGCAGGCGGCTTTGTCAAGAGACGAAAAGGGTTGGGCCCTATTGTGAAGCCTGTAATAGCCTGTAGTTCAGCCTGCCGCTCGGGAAAATGCGGCGTGTGGTTGTTCCGAGCGGCTTGGCATTGGCAGCCTTGGGCCCGTGAAGAAAGGTTCGCTGCTCGGTAAGACATGGCAGGACGTAGACAAACTCATTCTCGCTCCTTTTTTTTTTTTTTTTTTCCCGCAGACTCCCAGGAAGAAACCTTCAATACGCCGCGTCTGAATGAACAGCTGCCTTTCAGTCCCGCACTAGAGCCCGTTAGAGAAGAATTGACAGAAACCTGTGTAGTCTTAGCCATGATTCAATTTCCTTTTCTGCAATCGATTCGAGGTACGCGGGGACCGACGCTCAATTGACCTTCAGGAGATAGGACAGCCACTTCATACAAATGGCACTGGGCTCCTTCGTGCGCCGTCAAATGTGTGCGAACAAGATTCTTTGGAGCACCAGAGATCGATATGGATCCAATATGAGGAACATGGCGAGAGGTCACCCCTCTGGAGGAAAAGGGGGCATCAGCCTCGCCTTGGCGTCTTCCCAGCCGACATCTCTACAAGGTCAATTGGTAACTTCTGGACGGGAAATTTGCCTTGGCTATTGCATGAGAGCGGCATATACGATACCAGGGGGCCAAAATAGGCGCCGAGGCATGTTGTCCTTCTCTTTTAGGACCTTGCTGCGATGCATGTGCCTAATCGCCTGCGCAGTACGATCGACGATAAGAGCTCGGACTTCAATTATCGTGGAGGAATTTGCAGCTCTTCCGGCGCCCCAGGTATTACGCAGAATGTGGGCTTGCTGGATCAACGACTGACTGTTGAATGAGTGCGAGACAACATGAGAGTGTTTGGCGGAGATCCATCTCGCTTTCACCATCTCTGGCCACAGTGCTGGTGCATATTCTGGGCGGCTATTTTAATTACGCTTTCACCAGAGACCCATCATCGCCGGTTCAATGGTAACTCCTGGCGCCGCAACGGCCTTTGGCAATCGCCTGTCCAACACGACTGCCGCTGGTTGGCTAACTGTCACGAGCATGCTTGGATGTGTGAACAACACCAACGGTTTAGAGGCGAATATCATGAACTGAATGCAGAGGCAGAATGCGCAAAGACTATTTACAGCATCACAGAATGCATCTCAGGTCATCATCTCTCGGCTATCTCCAAAAGGGTACGCGGAGATCACGGGACTTTTCGGCCCAACTGTCGACAACGAAACGGTGTTTCCAGAATTGCACATTGTTCGGCCAGGCAGGGAATTTCATCAAACGTCCCGGTCTTGTGGGTAGTAATAGCGCCGAGGGCTGCGCGTTTGCAGAAAAGGGACAAAATACCTGTCTCGAGGCGCCGTTGCTTATAAACGCCGTATTCGCATGTCCGATCAACTCCGGCGCCACTTGGAGAGCACAAGCTGGGGTGTCTGTCTGGGAATACAGATATTATGGTGAGCCCGAAAAAGACTACAAAGACGCGTCCCAGGTATATAGATCATATTTACCAATACTGCAACAGGAGCCTATCCCAATGTTTTCGCGCCTGCCTGTCCTGGGCCACCGCGGCACGGTCAAGAAGTCTACGTCTACGTCCTGTTCAATTCGACAGCCAGCGCAATGGGACAAGCTACTGCTCTACAGGAGGTTGCGACAGGACGGTACCTTCGTGAAGCTTGGGCAACGTTCACTCGCGACCCTGCCGGCAGGTTTTCGCAGAAATTGCACTGGCCGACGGTTGGCAGTAAGAGGACCAATGTGATTGCATTGGCATTGAATAGTACCGTAGAGGCTGTGCAAAGTGCATATGAGAACGATTCGTATCACTTCAGTGTTCGGTAAATTTTCACCGAGATGTTCGACCAGGGGAGGAATCTGGGCGGCAAAGCCTAATTATGCTTCATATAGACAGGGGAGCTCCGAATTTATGATGAGTTTGACCCCCTGTTCATATGCAGATCGGTTAAAGGCGGTGCAGAAATAAAACTTGGGCGAACTCCCGACACGGTCATGAAACAGAGCCCGGATTTCTTCTGTCTTTTGCCGTTCTTGATCATTGTCTCCTCCTAGGCTGTGAGCCAGCCAGAGAAAGGTGAAGCTGGTGTGAACGCTTGGTTTCTGCGGTTTGGGTCAAAGCTCCTCGTCACGCGCAAACGTGCTGCATTCCTTTCACGAGAGGATCCGGCCGTGCACGGACAATTCCATTTTACGCACACGTTGGTTCTTCTCGCGTTCGGCCGTCTCAGGGCGCACGAGAATCTCTGACTTCCAGCCGTGACAGCTTCTCTCTCACCTCTCCATCTCCTTGGGACATCTGTTGCTCAGTTGGCTCAGACTGGTAGTTTTGCCCCATTGCGTTTTGACGGGGGGGAACAATCACTTCTTTGAGAACATGGGAACGTCGTCTTGAAATTTGGGGCCTGGGCAGGGCCACCGGGAGAAACCTCTTTGTTATGACGAGCAACAAAGAGAGACAATCCTAACAAAATCACACCCAGACTCCGCAAGCGGATGCTCAGAGGGTTGGTAATCCTCTTTTATATCACTTCAGTCCGAAGAAGAAGGCAAAGGCCAGAGCCGTCAAAGATTCTCTCTTCCATCGCCTTTTCCTCGTCTTTTGCGATCCCCAATATTTCCTACCACTTTTGCTGCTTCTCCCAGTCTGTCTCTTACCTCTCCCACGATGCGCGCCTTCACTCTAGGCATATCGACCGTCGCCGCCATTGCGGCCCTCGCAAGCCTCGTGGCAGCCCAGGCGGGGCCAGAAATCACCGATCCCGCTGTCCTGCCCCCGAGCGAAGCCGACGTGGAAACATCCACTCCTGAACTGACGCCGGATGACGAGTACTTCGTCAACGAGTCGGAGGGGGCAAGGCTAGCCAAGAGAACCCCGCCGGCCGGCGTGTACATCTGTAACAACAAGAACTGGGTGCAGCCATGTTCCTGGAACAAGCTCACCGACTCGAAGTGCATGGACTTTCCTTCGGATGCCGGCTCGTCTGTCGGGGTGAGTCGACTGTCACTCTTCTCTCCCTTGCAATTGTGATTCCCCTTTCGATCAGTTTGAGTTTTGCTGACTCGTGATTGAATGTCTCTTCCAGCCTCCTGTCGGTTGGCAGTGTAAGATCTACTACGCCAAAAACTGCGCAGCAACAAATGGCATGACGGACGGCAAACTCACGTACCCCGGCACGGCGAACTTGGGAGCCCTGTACAATAACTACAACAAGCCGGCGTCTATCAAGTGCAGGCAATGCTCGCAAGGAACAAACTCACCTTGGTAAGTTCTGATGCTTTTCCCTCCTTTGCCGCTCTCCCGGCTCAACACACTTGGGACAACGGACTTGGCTAACCATGAATCTTGGCTTTTAGTCTCAACAACAAAGCTCCAGACTGGAATGAGGCCATGGCAAAGGCTGGATATGGAGGCGCCAACGGACAGTGCTCATCTTGGGTGTCCGGCAAGGTTGTGCACTCATCTTGCCTTCCAGCACCCAAAATTTCCTAGACGACTGACATATAGGAGGAGAATACAAGAGTGGGAGGAACAAGGCTGATTCGCGTGGTTTCTGGCTTGACGTTTCTGAAGGAGGAATCTCAATGTGCTGTCGACCGGAATTCTTCGGTCTGTGGGCCTGGTCAATGCATTTGTTGCAAGGCTTGGGATATTTCGAAGTTCAATCTAATGCATTCTCGAGTCCTTGGACGGGCTGATGGATACCGAGGCCGCGATCTCATTGTCAGCCTTTCAAATTCATATTTCCCGTGGTTTCTGGAAGGAGAGTCTGTTTCCCGCTCACTGGCCGAAGAATGGAAGGGGATTGGGCGCCGTAGTATTGTAGTTTGGCTTGGGTGATTCACGACTCTCGGTCTCATGACCATCGGCGAAGACAAACCATCATTCCGCTAAGAATCAAGATAGATGTCCAGCTGTGGTCACCATACCTCGAAATTCTGCCAGACCGCTGAAAAAATCTTCCACAATGTCTCCTTTATGTGTTCTGTTTGTCCATTTTCTGTCGACAATTGACAATTCTGACAGAGGTTCCAAGTGGTCACTGTTTCAAAGGATGTTGGAAAGCGGCAGCGATCCTCGGCTTATCTCATACTTTGTTGTTGTCTTTGGATGATTGTCAACTGTCGAGTCTGTCGAGTTGGAGACAGATAACGTTTTTTTTTCCTTTTCTTTCTTTTCTTTTCCTTTTGTTTTGTGGGCCCCAGCGGGTGTGAATATTTCGCGTTTATGTCCCCTAGCCATCCTCTCCGCTGCTAGACCCTTTTGGATACCTAGGTAGCTTCTGCCGGAAATCAGGTGTCGATTCCTGTGCAAGAAGATCACATGCAAACTGGCCCACCGCAAGCCTCTTAAAATTCCACCTTTCACCAATTTATGCTCACTTATTCTCTCCCAACAATGTGAAGACACCCCTCTCCAGGGGTTAGCACAGTGAGGGAGCAGCTCGTCTGACAAACTGTAGTCTAGATTGCCATTGACCTAAAGCTTGTCTCAATATCATCTAATCTTCCAGCATCTGCCCAATCTTCTCTCTTCTGGAGAGTGATGGCAGAGAGAAAGGGGGTGACAAGCTAGTCAAATCTGTCGTGAAATAAAAAACCTGAGGTTCGAATCGACTTTCGATTAGGATCAAGGACGGTTTCTCTCGGCAAGAGGTTTTGTTTCAGAGAAGTTTTGTGTGATTTTTGCTGCTAACCTTGGCGAGAGCTTAGAAGGTGCAATTGAAATGTGGTGTTGGTGAGGGTTGTCATCCATCACCCAGCCGAATCGAAGTGACACAGTCTGACGCAAAATACACGCTGTATCCAATATAGCTAAAGAGGGCTCAATAACAACGAAGGCCACCCCTGTTGTAACAGTGGACTTGAAGCGTGCGACTTATTTGTTGACTTTCGACTTCATGGTTGATGCATTATTCCTCTCCGCCTTGCAAAGTTTGACTTGACGTCTGACCGAAGGCCCGCCACGTCTGGCTGCAGGCGACATCTGCCTGGACAGTTTGCAAGGTTGGGCTGAATGTTATCGGGCTCTAGGGCGAAATGCTGGACGAAGCATTTTGAGAACGGTGTGAGAATAGGATTCTAAAGAGGGCGTCTATTCTTAAAAGGTGGAAGGAAGGGAAGTGTCAGGTTTAATTCCTTGGCCCTTGGCCCCAACAACTACACCTTTCAACCTTTTACCCGTCAGAGCCAACTTCAAAATCCTCCTCGGATATTATCCCCTGGTGATTCTCAAAATGCCGCGTCAAGCCTTTCGCCAAATTCGCTATGGTCCAGACAAGTGTTCTCCAAAAATGACGCGTTCTATACAGAATGTCTCCCCAATAGCTCTCGAAGGTGAACAGGGAATTTGCGGTAAGCAATAGGTTTGAACCGTTCGACAAGAATCTCCAAGGGACATGCATCGCGATCCAGGCTTGCCTGTTCGTAAAGCCAAACCAGGCATATCTCTCTATCTTACCAAAGGGACGAGGTTTGGGGGGTCCAACGAAAAGGGAGGTTGAGAGTGCACCCTTGAGTAGCCCAATGCAGCCCCGTGGCGAGGCTGGCAGGGTAGACAAGGCTGAACCACGTGACACGGCCCCACTTTCGCCTCAAGTAGACTCATGACGTCATGCATCGAAAGCATCCACCGCGGCGCCGTCACACCATAGTACTACGAGTATATTTCCCAGCCTTGCCATCGAACCATCAATTATCTCGTTGCACGTCTGCTGCAATTGTCACGATCAGAGATATAAGATGCCTGCAACTACGAGAAGCAAGACTAAACAGAATCAGACACGTTTAGAAGACTTCGAGCCGAAGGAGGAAAACAAAGCCCAAGGCCAAGGCTCCAAATCTAAACGTGCTGCAACTACAAAGAGAAAGAAGGAGACTGAACCGCCCTCCAAACGCAAACGCAAACAGCCTGACAACCAAACGAATGCAGAAGACGCTGATCGTCCAACAAAGAAGCAAAAGCAGAAACAGGCCTCCCTCAAACCTGAGGAGAACATGTCGCCGCCGGGGGGCGCCACCAAACCCGTGCTAATAAACCGGGCGCCAGTCCTGCAGCTATGGGCCGCATGTGTGTCGCAGGCGCTTTACCCCGCGCTGCCATGGGCCACGCATTTGAGCATCGGCTCTGCAATCTCCACACTATGTGCCATCGCTAAGGGGCGCGCGATTGGACTGATTGAAAAGCCGTCGGACGACCCGGCCGAGAGGGCAGAGAGAGAGAGGAAGAGACGCGCTGCCGAGGAGGGCGCCGACGACGAGATCAACGTCATGCGGTTCAGACTATTGCTAAAGGACGGAGGCGCGATCGTCTCGGGCAGGCCGCAGAAGGCCAATGAAGCGTTGTTGAGGAATAAGTTCGGACAGGGGGACGAGTACGAGAGGACCAAGAGGGCCATGGAGGAGGCGATCGACACGTGGAAGAACAGAGGCCAGAAGAAAGAGTTTAACGTCAAGGCTTTTCACATGTACGAGGAGTTTCGTCCGAATGTACAGCGGGGGCAGGGCGGGTGGGGGAGGAAAGGTGAGTTGAGGCCGGAGAAGATAAGGGAGGTGGTGGCGAGGGAGTAACTCATGCGCAAACGAAAATGTTCGGCCTAAAGGGCGGCTTTCCGTGGGGAAAGGGGATTCCATGTCATGGGTCAATATATATAGTCTATTAATACTTGGGATTGTAACCTACATTCATCCTCCATGGACCAATGGTTTCGTCTATCCAGTCTCCTTATCAACTTCACGTGCGAGTTCACAGCGCTGTCATTGATTCTTAGGTGCCGAAAAACAGTCCTCTAGTTGAACTTTCCTCTCTTCGACAAGGGAGTCGAGAATCCTAGATTGCCCGATGTCCTCTCATCTTCAAAAAAATACATCGCCGGACAACCGAATGGGTAATTGGGACAGACTCACTCTCCATTCTCAAAGACGTTCACCAACGTGCCTATATACGGCAGAATCTCGACGTGAAACTCGTCGCCGTGCCTGATGGTGACCTTGGGCTTTCTGACGACGCCAACTCCGGCCGGCGTGCCCGTGATGATCACCGTGCCAGGAGGCAACGTCGTGCCCTGCGACAAGAAGCTGATTAGGGCAGGGATGGAGAAGATCAGGTCGTCGGTCTCGCAGTCCTGGAGGACCTGGTTTCCGTTCTTCAGGCCGCGGAGGTGCAGCTTCGACGGGTCTGGGATGAGTGAGGGAGACACGAGAGCCGGGCCGATGGGACAGGCGCCGTCAAAGCCCTTGGAGAAACACCACTGGCTCTGCGCGAACTAGGCCGTGCGGCTGGAGACGTCGTTGCAGGCTGTGTAGCCCAGGACGTGGTCCATGGCATCGGCCTGGGAGACGTTCTTGGCGGTCCTGCCGATCACGACAGCTAGCTCGGCCTCGTAGTCGCCGCAGTCGTCTTGTTGGGTCAGTCTGGGTAGTATCGTCGGCGCTGGCCACGGGTCTCCCAGCGATGTGTTTGGTTTCCTGTGCCCCAATTTTAGCGCGAATACGAAGACGGTCAGTCCTGGTGTGGAGAAGCAACCAGAAAAGAAGAGAAAAAAAAAAAAACTCACATGAAGACTGTAGGCACGGTGGGCAGCGCCATGTTTACTTCCGCCGCGTGCTGCTTGTACTTTTTGGGGGGATGGTTAAGCAATCCTTTCTGTCACAGCCTAGGATATGGGCCTAAGGTACTCACATTCAACCCAATACATCGAATAGTCCCAACCTCAGACATGGCCAGAGGAGACAAGACTCGATCGACGACGGCAGTGGTCCCGGTATCCCTCCCCGGCGACAGGACGGAGGAGCCAGAGAAGACACTGACGGGAACGTCGTGACCTCTCCGCAGAGCAATGCCGACATCGACGTTGTCATCTTGAGGCTGTCCAATAAGGACCTTTGATGGATCTGCCCGTGGGACGAAACGAACTAGCCCTGACGGAGAGAAGTGAGCTGATAATACTTCAACGGTACGGGAGAGGGGCAGTACGTTTCCACGGCAGGTCAGCAGCCAGCTTTCTGAGCATCCTGTGCCCCTTTCTAAACCCCATGGCCTGACCCTGACCCGATATATACAGAAGGAAGACCAAAAAGCGCGATGAAACCATTGCGGAGACGAGAAGCGGGCGGAAGCATATCGGGTCGGACTATCAATGTACCGAACGAAGCCTGTGGTGCCTCTTCCGATGGGCTTCCAAGGTTGCTCACCACTGCTGCCCCGCCACAAATCACTGCGTGGGGACGTCTCAACAAAGGAAAAGGTCGAGATTTGCTTCGAATGATCAGCCAGCAGAGAGAATTCAGTGCCTCTTCAGATAAAGTTCGATATCCCTTGATGCTGCGCGGGATTCGGGACCGCCATCTCTTTGCAGGCGACGAGAAGGGTTCATGATATAAAAGGCGCTGGGTCAAGCCGTTAGAACGGATTATCTGACTTTGTGGGGTATTCATCTCACGGACAAGATCTCCTCTAAAACTGCCAGTAACAAAGACGCGGCTCGACCTGTGCTTGGAGAAACTATACATCTGATCCATTCTATCAGCCGAACAACGATGGCGACCTCGACATCAGGAGAAAGCGAATATCGCCAATACCTCCCGGACCTGAGCATCCCGCGCTTCACGACCATGGCGAAACAAGACGCCCACGTCTACGCCACGGCGTTCAAGGAGTCCGGGATCCCGCCGTGGTTGTACGCCCTGTACAAGCACTGGCTGGAACTGCTCAAGGAGCCGTTCAAGGGCGTGACCAATGACGGCGTCGTGCGCCCGGGCATCTTCAAGATCCAGGACGAAGGCGTCCCCATTGACCGCATCGTCGCAGCGGCGCAGGAGCTCATGAGCCAACTGACATCGGCGCAGGTCGCCAAGCTCTCGCACCACATCGACTCGCCCGAGTGGCGCACCTGGTCGAATCCAGAGTTCCTCCTCAGTGACAAGGGCATCCGGCTGGACGAGCTCGAGCCGGCCGTACGGGACGGTGTGATGGCCGTGCTCCGCGCGACGCTCTCGCCCGAGGGCTACGACAAGGCCGTGGCGGCGATGCGCATCAACGGGTTTCTGGGCGAGCTGGTCCAGGGCACGGCGGTGATGAACGAGTTCTCGTACAACTTTGTGCTCTTCGGGCAGCCGTCGACCACCGCGCCGTGGGGGTTCAGCTTCTACGGCCACCATCTCTGCCTGAATGTCTTCCTCTACCGCACCCAGATGCTCATCTCGCCGTGGTTTACGGGCGCCGAGCCCAACATCATCGACGATGGGCCGTACAAGGGCACACGGATCCTCCACGAGGAAGAAAAGCTCGGTTTGCAGCTGATGCAGTCGCTGCCCGCTGAGCTGCAGCGCAAGGCCCAGGTGTACAAGGAGATGAAAGACCCGGCCATGCCCGAGGGGCGGTGGAACCACGACGACCAACGCCACTTGTGCGGTGCCTACAGAGACAACCGCGTTGTGCCCTACGAGGGCACCCTGGTCTCCTCGCTCACCGCCGACCAACAGTCCCTCGTCGACCAGATCCTCATCCAATACCTCCTGTACCTGCCGCAGCCCGCGCGCTCGATCCGGCTAGACCAATGCCGCGCCCTCTACCACGAGACGTATTTCTGCTGGATCGGCGGCTTCGCCAGCGCGGACCCATTCTACTTCCGCATCCAGAGCCCCCTCGTGCTCGTCGAGTTCGACCACCACAGCGGCGTCTTCTTGAACAACAAAGACCCGGCCAAGTTCCATATCCACACCCTGCTAAGGACCCCGAATGGCGGGGACTACGGGTACGCATTGAGGCCGTTATGCGAAGGGAGCGTTAAGCAGGAGTTTGTGTGGAAGGGCGACAGGGAGTGAGTGAATCTCGAGGTTGATCCCGGGGGGCGGGCGGGAGGTGAGAAGGTGACGAGGGGCGACAAGGGACGAAAAGATAAACCAACTGGGGAGGAGCGTGCACGAGCGGCAAAGAGGAGAGGTTGAACATCCGGCTGTTCAAGAAAATACAATGACCTTGGCAATACATGTGTTGCATTGGACTGCGTCGGTAATGCATGCACTTCTTTGTGTTCAATTTGAAAGCACCGCACCTGATGTTTGGTAGAGGCTCCAGCCGTCTCACCTCCTTTGCCATCGGACGGCCAGCAAGACGACGCCCTCATGCAGTGAGGTGAGCACTACAATCTACCTCAGGCCTGCACGAACAGCCACGCCAAATCAACCCCATTGTTGAGAGAAGCTGGACAGCAAAGAAGATTATAGAAGTCGCCATTGTCGTGATTGCATGGAAGCCCTCTTTCTGCATTCTGGTTAGACAGATCGTCTCCAGGTCTTTGAACGGGGAGACTCGGATCTTGAATGATTGAAATGGATGTATTGACCAAGATAGGAGCACCCTTTCAAGTCCGTCGCTGATACAGGACCTGCATCTTCGAGCCACGGACAAAAGACATTCCATACCAGCTTGCTTTGGCTCCAGACGACCCAGAGGTGATTGATCCTCTCACCCCCCGGAAAGCAATGTACTGAACACTTGGAAGGGATTCGAACTGTTCATGTTTGGTGTTTGCTTGCTTTGCTCTCATCTCAAGCACACTTCCGTGTTTTACTCCGCCTCAGGCGAAGACGATCCGCACAGCTTGCACGGTATTAGGGTGATTCGTGAATGTGACAACCAAGGTCTTCCCAGTCTCATCGAAATAAGGATGCGGCACCGCAGCGTATATTGAACTCCCCGGCGTAATCGGTGTCGCTTGGTACAGCGTTGTCGGGTCTGACCAGGGTCCTTCGGGTCGTTGGGCAGTTTTCAGAAGCACTTTCGAGTTCATCCAGTTGTCTAGCCAGGGAAAAAAACACAAAATGTTAGACTCGTCCTCTGGTCCGGGTAAGAACGCATGCGCGACTACTTACCACAATACACGAAGAGGTAGCATCCAAAATAGTTGGACCAGACCACTTGTCCCTGGTTGACCTGCCAGAATACACTTTCCTTCTCACCAATGGTTTTGCCATCGAGCCTGTCATTCTGCCATGTCTCACCGTTCCAATACTCGTAGCAGCTGACGTTTGTGGCTTTGTCCGCACGGACTCGAGTCAAGTATACCCAGGGATTGCCTTGTGGCCCGTGGCCGTACGCATAGACGTATTCATTCCACCGCAGCGCGCCGACGTCTCCGTACCAAGGTTCGCACCTGGCATCCCACCAGTATTGCGGAGGCAGACGGCGTATTTGCGGAACAGGAGGATATGCTGACGTGTCGAGGGTGATCGAGGCGACCCCGGCGCCAACAAGATTGTTCGTGCCGTTGGGACGGTGATTCAGGAGGAAGAACATGACTCCTTCGTTCGGCATGGCAGTTTCGACCACATTGGTGATGCCTAAAGCGCATGTGGCCGCGTCCTCTCCGAAGGAGGATATAAGCGGGCAGAACTGTGGCGGGTAGCCTTGTGAGTCGAGGACAGGGTCCACAACCACAAGCGGATTCTGTGTGGCTATCGCGACTGAGTCGCTTGTCATGCCGCGCCATGTATCGCTATAGTTGGCATCACTGTAGAGGGTATCCCCGTAACTCAGAAGGACGTACTGGCCGAGTTGACCTTGAAATCCCAGGTCGCGTTTGACGTAGGTTGTGGCACTATGAACGTCTCCAATGGAGTCAACACAGACTATGCCTATGCTGGGTGGATATGGCTTGCAAGCGGCTGTTGTGCTGGGAGTATTGACAGGAGCTGGTGCAGTGTCTGTCGGCAGCAGCGAGCTCTGGAGCAGAGATGTTAGGTTGGAAAATATGTACATGTAAGTAGTAAACAGAGATCCATGGAATGATTGGGCAAGACGATTTTGGCATCACTGCATGCCTAGTTCACGACAGACAGATCTTTTGAGGTGAGAAAGGAGCACGAGAGGAAGTGCTCGAGCCGGGGTTTTACATTTTCAGTATATTCTCACAGGGACGCTCAACAGCACGAGAGTATTGCGTAAGTGATTGATCGATCAATTGTGAAAAGCATACGGCAGGTTGAAGATAATAGCAAGTGACACAAGCAACTCTGAATACTAACTAGCAAACAACCAGGCACTGTTCCTAGTGTATTCAAGAAACGAAACAGGGTGCGGCAGAAAAATTCATGAGTGCCACGCACCTTGAACAATAACCGGCAGGGATCTGGTATTGTTGGAGAATTTGAGACACCATTGCCATCGTCGTGATGCGTGGGCTTCTGTGTAGAGGCGATGTCTGTCCGATGGCTTGCAGGTGAGAGAGTAGCAGGCCCCATGTTGGTGTCAAGTCCTCGATTGACCGCTTGACCAGCCCATTGGTACAGACGTTCACGGATTCCCCGAGGTTGTTGTGGTTCATTTCTTGCGTGGTCCATGGCGCTGCATCTATCGTTTGGCTGCGATCGTGTAATCATGGGCGATACGAGATCGAAGACTGTGTCACCGTGGCTTCAGCTGATAGGATACGTGACAAAAGTCGACGTGTGAGGGCTTAGTGAAGTGTTGCAGGTTACAACTTTGAAATCTGTTTCAGAAGTGTTTTGCACCGTGCCCATGGAAGGATTTGTCCTTTGCGTCGGAGTCTTCCGATGGCAAATCAAGCACAATGAATAATCGAGTACCGTAGATACTGTCCGAGTGGTAGTCTAATTATGGCTTGGCGAGGAACATAAAAAGGGGTGAAAGATGATTTGGAGGACCCATGACAATATATTTCGGCATCAGATGTGAGGATATTTTTCACTCGGTCCTCTTCCCAACGCGTGGCAGCAGAACCCACGTAGCTGACATCGACGCAAACGAAATCAGAACAACCGGGTGGAGGGCAACAGTACTCAATTTCTGTGCCAATATGCCCGTGATGAAAGGTACTAGCGCGCCGCCAGAGCTTCCCATCGATGTCACGACTGACAAACTGCTGATTTGGATGCTCCTGGGTAAAAGTTTGGCAAAGACGGCGGTGGCGCATGGGTAGATTGGTCCGAGGAATAAGCCGACAATGGATTCTGCCACGGCGTTTCCAATAATGTTTGGTACAAGCCAAACCAGAAGCTGGAAGATGGCGGCTCCAAGGATTAGGAGGACGACCGCAAACTTCTCCCCGACCTTGTGAGCAAAATGAGTCAAGACAAACCTTCCAACAGTAATCCCGCCCCAGAATCCAGAGGTGACATTACCGACATGGGAGGGATCGCCTCTTCGGTAATGAATCAGGTAAGAGATGACCCAGCCTGAAATAGCCACTTCTGCACCTTGATAGAAACTAGGAAACGTCAAACTAGTGGATCGATGGTTCATCCAGGCAACTTACAAGATAAAGGTAGCTCCAAGGAGCGTTGTCCTGTTCCTGACTGCCCTTTTGAGCACCTGAACTTTGGTGAGGTCGGCCGAACCAGCAGCCTGGCGGGAGGCGGTCCGTTCGAGAGACGAAAGTAATTGGACAGCAGCATCGCTCTCGAAGCCTCTGAAGGACCAGCCCATCAACAAGACAGAAAGCAAGGAGAAAGACAGCGTAATGAAGTAGAAATGTGCCCAGTGAATGCCGTTTGACACCATGGCCGTGGCAATCAAAGGGGAGATAATACCGCCCAGCTGGCAGAAGTTAGCTTCGGTCGAAACCCATGCCAGCATGTCCTGACTCACCCCATATAGACCGTGGCAAAAGCCTAGGATGACAGTGCCATTGAGCAAGTTGACAATGAAGGCGTTGGTCATGGCAAGAAACAGTCCCATCCCACAACCGAGGAAATAGAAGCTGAGCACGACCACAGGAAATGGTGGAGAGCAGACGACGGTAACGTAGCCGATGCTCATCATAGAGGTTGCGATGATGTAGGAACGAGTCCGACCGAGCCGAGACTCGATGAGCTGGATGACCGGTGCCATCGAAATGAACCCGAGAGCATTAGTGATGAAAATCAAAGAAACAATAGCATATCCGATATGGTAGTCTTTTTCCAGGTATGGGATCAAAGCACCGGTGGCGGCATCATTCAGGCCCAGCAAAAAGAACATGACACTCGCCGCCGCTACCCGCCAACGATTTCGGGGTGGATTCGAAATGGACTGAACGATGGCATCAACCACTTGATCTCGCTTTGGTGTGGGAGGTTGACTTCGTTCCAACTCGCCAGGGGTTGGAGGAAGAGACCGACCGACAGGCGATGCATCACGAGAGGGCTCCTTACATGGGCCGTTCAAGCGTCTGCCCCATTGTAGTTCGTCGAGCTCGTACTCAGTGGGTGACACAGTGGTAATGTTGTCTCGATGGATGACGGGGGCGGGTCCACGGACAGTAGCGGAAGGGTCACTTTCATGGGTGATAAAGGCACCAAATGCTTGTACTGTCATCATGAAGAAGAAGAAGAAGAAGTGAAAGGAGATGGGACAATTGCAGACGTAGTAGAGGATGGCAATCAAGACAGAATTGGGAGAAAATATACATATACCTCTCTCTCTCTCTCTCTCTGTCTCTCTCCCCAGATCATGCCCCGCTTGGAATACGCTCGCATTGATAAGAATAAGGCAACACATTTGGGTCGGAGACCATTGAAGCCGCGTGCAATAGCGGTGCGAGATGGACCGATGTGAGGTCTGTGGACATGGTGGGCCAGGGACGAGCTTGTAGATCGATTGCTAATTTCTCAAGAAAGATAGTAGCAGCCACTGTTGATTCGAGGGTATTTTGCCGTATTGGCCGGGTAGAAGCTTGATCGGGTCGATGAAGTTCGATGGATTGACGGGGGGTCGACGGGTTGATGGTGGTGATTTGTGGTGATTTGTGGTGGGTGTAAGTGGATGTGACGAGGCACCGAGAGGAAGTGGCTTTGAGAGAGTAAGCCACCCGCCTGTGCCCGGGTTTCTTTCCCCTTTCAACACGCTGCCCGCCAACCACCACAAGGTCGCCAATGCTCTCCTTCCCCCGCTTGCCCGGCCTGAATTGCCAGAAAAAAAAAATTCCCAAAATGTCACCGCAACTGGTCTCGCTTTGCCTTTTTCATGGTCACCAGATCGAATCCCTTTGTTCCCATTCTTGCCATGTCTCGCCGTAAGATCCGAAGCACCGCGGAAGAGACCCTCACTCCTCCTGACTCTCTGGCTCCCGGTCAGTTGATCGCCCGTGTGGTCAAAGTCAACGGCAAAGACCTCTACACGGTCCAGACCCCCGACTCATCCACGTTTCTCGTCGAACTTGAAGCCCGCTTCAGATCCACCATCTTCGTCAAGCGCGGCGGCTATGTCCTGGTCGACACAACCACCACGGCGGAGCGGGACAACAAGATCCAGGGCGAAATTGTGAATATCGTTGGTGACGAAAAGGCGTGGAGGAAACAACCCTTCTGGCCGCAAGAGTTCGTCAAGAGGACCACACTGGCCGACAGTGACGACGAGGACTCACGGGTGGGCAAGATGCCGCCATCCGACAGCGAGGACGAAACAGGATGATGCGTCTGCCTCTCAGCTCCTCAATTCTTGCGAACTCGCTGGCGGAGGACTGATGTGATCCACGGGTGGTGCAACAAGAGCGCACATGGCCTGCAGTGCCAATTCTCCCACCACCACCATTGAACTCACGTCCGTGCTCGGATATACCAGCCAGCAATATTCCTGGACTGCCCAATTGAGAAGGACCCAGATAGGACCTCCCCCGGCCCTCCACAGCAGATACGGGGTGGCCCAGCCGAGATATGCAAAGAACTGGTAGTGCAGACTCCTGGCGCACAGCATACCGATCACCATGCTGCCCAGGACGGTATCCATCACAAAGGCCGGGGTGACCTTCTTCGAGATCCTCAACTCCTCCGCCTCGTTCATACCAAGCATGTACTTCTTGGCAAACTCGACTAAGCTCGAAGCACTGGGCTTGATCCACTTCGTCTGAAAGAACAGGAGCAGCAAGGATGCGTGGATGACCAAGAGACTGATGGCAAAATTGCGAGACAGAAACGTCTCTTCATCAACGAACCTCCAGTTGACCGTCCACTTGTACAGGAATTGTCTCCCAAAGTCGAAGGAGCGTTGGACATATGAAAGGCCCGTTCCTTCGCCGAAGAAGGGTAGGGACATGACAACGTGGAGGACAAAGACATAGAGACCTGTGAAGAGCCCTTCGCCCGTACCGAGGGCCTGTAAAACGATGACTCCCACAGCGGGTGCAGCTAGCAATAGAGTCATTTTCACGCCCAATCCCAGTCCCCATATGATCGCTGCCCTTCCGAACTTGCGCCGTTGCATGGAGTAGATTGCGAGCCAAAGTCCCAGCGTCGCCCAGCAGTCATTGAACAGCCGCAACAAGAATATAGAATGCATTCTCTTGCTCAATACCAAGGGGATCAGAAGCCAGGGCGGCGCGCTCACCCGTCTGTAACATGCAAAGACCACGGCCAGCGTCACGAGGTATAACCCGGCAAAGATGATCTGAGCACGCAGGATATTGGTGCCCTGGTCGGTGAGCGTATAGAGGATCGAGTAGATGTAGAGATGAAGGGCCGGATAAACGAGAGGACCCGTGGGACCCGTGATCTTTGCATAGTTTCTTTCGCCCGACAGGAACATGCGCACTTGGGCCATGTACGTCGTGAAGTCGATCTCGGTGTACGGCACTCTCCAGACAATGAGGCCACAGAGGACAGCCTCGCCGAGGAGCATCAAGGGGGCTGTCCACCTCGCGTGTACAGGATTCGTGAGGAGGCTGCGGACGTTCTTCAAGGAGAGGTCCATGGCTGCTGGGAACGAGTAACCAAGTGGTCAGAGAAGACTGTCGGTCTGTGGGAGAGTCGAGAGGAAGCTCTTGTCCGCTATATCTCTGGCATCATGACTACCTCCATCCCCATCGAGGACGACACGCAGATGGGAGTCTTGGAGAGTGCGAGAGAAATCAGGAGGTTTCCGTCTATTCCACGCGAGACGCGACCAGAGACGGACGAGTCTCCATTGCCGTCCTCGCGGTTCCCGATTTGGAGCTGCTCGCTTCTTCCCCGCGCACTCATCATGCCGAGATGCGTCTGCTCCTCCATCTTCCCTCCCACCACCGCCTCTTCCATCACCGCGACGTCATGAGCAACAGCATCAGTCAGGCCCGTCGATCGCTGATTTCATACGCGATGGGAGTTCCCAGAGCTCCCCAGGCCCCAGATTCGACCGCTCCAACCGCGTCATCTCCGTCGATTGCATGCTGGAGAGACCGAGTTGCAGACAGGTATGTCCGATCACGACCGTAAGTACCCCGTCCCCATTCTCTGTGTTATCGGATCTCTCTCGTCTCTTGCTATAAAGGAAGCGGTGGACAACATTGCTTCAACCAGCGTACAACATCCCGCTTCCTAAATAACGGTTCCCGCCTGCTCTTCTCCTCGCCCACAACATGTGGCGCCAGGCGCCTTCTAAACCCGACCCCTCTGCTCCTCGAGCCCCCCAAGCCGAACCTCACGACCTCAACTGCCTCACCATCTCTGAACTCGAATCCCTCGCCTATGAGCGCATGGACAAGCAGACGCGAGATTACTATAACGAAGGCGCCGACTGCGGGAGCACCCTCTCTGAGAACATCTCGGCCTACGAGAAATATCGCATCCGTCCACGGGTGTTACGAGACATATCCCAGGTAGATACTACGGTCCAGGTATTCGGACACACAGACAGCTCTGCCTTCGGCGTGGCGCCCACGGCAATGCAGCGACTGGCACATTCCGACGGAGAGATCGCCACGGCACGAGCCTGTCACTCACGCGGAATTGTCATGGGTCTCTCTTCATTCTCAACCAGCACGCTCGAGGACGTCGCCCAAGCCAGCGGGGACAATCCCCACGTCCTTCAGCTTTACCTCTTCGAAGAGCGCGAGCACTCTCTGAAGCTCATAAACCGCGCCAAAAAGGCAGGGTACAGAGCCGTCCTCCTGACAGTTGACACCCCCATGCTCGGCCGCCGCAATCTCGAGATAAGAAATCAGTTTCAACTGCCGGCCCACCTCTCCATAGCGAATTTTGCGGAACAAGATGAGGACACAGATACAGCAGTAGGGAGGGAGCATAGTCGAACCACGACAGCCACTGACGAGAAGAAAACTCCATCCTCTCGCCGGCCGCAAATGCCCCGCCAACGGCGTCCCAGCACGGCTGGCTACCACGACGGCCACCGTCGCATGCCCCCGAGCGGGCCCATCACATTCCACACACACGCGGCAAACCCGACCCTGTCATGGGACGAATCCATTCCCTGGCTGAAAGAGGTCTGCGGCCCCGAGATGGAAGTCTGGGTCAAAGGCATCGCGACGGCCGAGGATGCCGAGCTCGCGGTGCACCACGGCTGCGACGGCATCATCGTGTCCAACCACGGCGGCCGGCAATTGAACGGCGCGCTCGCGACCCTCGACGCCCTCCCGGAAGTCGTGGCTGCGGTCAAGAAGCGCGTGCCCGTCCACGTCGATGGCGGCATCCGGCACGGCACCGACATCTTCAAGGCCCTTGCCCTGGGCGCTAACTTCTGCTGGGTTGGACGACCCATACTCTGGGGTCTGGCGTACAAAGGGCAGGAAGGCGTCGAGTTGTGTCTGAGACTGTTGAGTGACGAGTTCAGACTCTCTATGGGCTTGGCGGGCGTGACCAAGGTCAAGGACATTACGAAAGACTACCTGTGCCGGGTCGACAGAGGCAGGTTCCCGAGTCGCTTGTGAACTGAGGCAGAGTAAGCGGATTACGAAATCGATGAGCTGGAGGACGAACGGCAAAGGAGGGAAGGGCCCGTAACGACCTGTCCAGTTCTATAAGGAGGTAAGCGCTGGGCGTCTTCGGTCCGCTTAGGAGACGACCTGGACATGTGCTGCTTTGGTCTCAATGCAGCCACGATTACTGACGGAACACCTGAAAACAACCTTGGAACCAAGGCTGTGTAGAGAGACTCGTACCTTGAGCGTCATGTTTACAATGTCTGTCGCATGCTATTCAACCGGAATCGGTTGTCCGAGCACATTCCTAGAGTTGCCAGTGACTGCCTCTGCTGGCTGTTTCTCGTGTGGAGGTATCTATGCCGGTGTAATTTCAAGCCGCGTATCCGGATTGTTCATCTCAGCTGTCATCTGTGCAATATCCCTGCTTCATCTCAACGGTTGTGCTCGAATTTTTTGTTTTGTTTTCGATAGGGGTATCTGGTTGTTTCACGATTCACGTTCCTTCGCACATGTTCTTCAGAAAAGTTCTCGGTTCAATGCGACTTGGTACTCATGACGATCTCCACGCGCTTCAGGCTGGGGGGATTGAAAGTAATAAAGCTAACGTCGTCTTCAAAAGAAATATCTAGGCAATAATATCAAGCCAGGTCTCTCAGCACGACAATTGTCATAAGGGTTCTTTTCAGTGGACTTCGTTAAATTCTGTTCAGGGATTAGCATGATCTTGATCTGGAAATTGGGTTCGACATCATACCTAGGCGGGTGTGGTTTGCATTCAAGCAGGCCATGGAAGTTTCCGGTCGCTTCACCAATCTTCAATCTTTGGTGCCACGAACTTGACCGTGCCGTTGTCATTGTATCCGCGTGTTCCCAGGACTCCACCGGTGATTTCTCGCATAATCTGATTGAAGTTGGCACTGTTGCGGATATCACAACGCTTACTTGCAGACTCGGTATGGGCCACCCAAGCTGAGGTGGTCGCAAACAACTTCAAGCACAAGGGACAGGTGACCTGACCACCAATGTGTGATGAGGACAGCAGGTGCTCTCTAAATTGGGCGGGCGTCTTGAATTGACGTTTGCACTTGATGGTGGGACAAGAATACACTTGGCGGATGGCATCCCAATACTTTTCGATCTCGAATTGAGCATTCGTCGAAACGATGGAGTGAGCAGGCAGTTGGACGATATGTTGACGAGGAGCATTCGGATTCGCCTTTGCCCATGAAGTTGGTGGGATTTGCTCAGTGTCCTCGGATGACGGCGCCTTTCTGTCGTACATTGAGGCAACCTCGCTCGCGTCATCAGATGGTAGTTCAGCCGCGCCCGTGACCGCCTTAAGCCATCCCGTGACCATTCCAGTGTTAGTGTTGGCACTGCCTTGTGATGAACCACCTTTTGGTGGTATGTCCCATGCCGGCTGGGAGATGTGTAAGCTCGAAATAGCTTTTTCAACAGGGGGGTCGAGGTCGACGAAGTTACGAAAGGTTCTAACCCCAAGACCAGCTTGCTGTGAACCAGAATTGAGATTGGCCATCTTCGAGGCTTGAGATTTTGAGAGTGGTGGAAATTGTTCGTGCGATGCAGTCGAGATTGGGCCGCTGAGGGTGTTGCTGAGCGATCTCCCAGACTCATGGGCTGTCATACCACTCAATAGGTCGGGCCAACCGTTGTTGGTGGCACTCTTCTCGTCGCAGGTCGATTGATTGACAATAAATGGATCTGTTTCCGCCTTCCATGCGTCTTTCTGGATCTGGCGTTCGGCTCGCTGCATCTGAAAATCCGTCAGCCGAATGACTTTGCATTCGTCCTGTTCGATGTGCCGTATCAGTGCCGCGGCCGATCGACACATCTCTCCGCAACCAGCACATCCAATGTTCTGAGCAGAACGATGTTGCTGTCATCGTATATCAGCTAGTATTTGATTAAGCTTTGACAGCGGTGCCTACACTTTCCACATGATTGTCTCTGGTAATCGTGCTCTTGAACTATTCGGGTCAGCGACGGTTATACTATTCTTTCAAGCGCTTATTCAATACCTCCTTCCCACAAATCGGACAGCAGACTATGAGATCGTCAGTGGCTGAGGGTGGTCACGAAGTGGAAGAAAAGCCAACTCACTGTGGGCTGGGCTTCCAAGCTGATGGATGAAAAAGAACATGTCATTTTCACAGTCGACGTCGCATCGCTTGCAGTACGAGTGATAGATCGCTACCTCCTTGTGTTGAATCATGGCCTCCTTGGTGTTGAAGTGCTGGTGGCAATCTTCGTAGGTGCATTTGATCTTCATAGTGAGGTTGATGTACAAGGGTCACGAGCTGGGAGAGTGAGCAGGACACGAGGAGGTTGGGACAGAAGGCCAGGTTTTAGGCTGGGACAGAGCAGAGCTTCTACAATCAAAGAGGAAATTCGATAGAAGACAGGGTTAAGTGAGGAAGACAGAGGTGACAAGGCAAAGTTGAGGAAGATGTCAGTGAAAGAGGTCAGTGAAAGAGCAAGCGGGGAAGGCAGCAAGCAGGCGAGAGGATCCCGCCGGCAGCTGGACACTGAAGACCAGGAAGGTGAAACTAACCCTCTGGTCAACCAACAGTGTCCCTTCCTCACACAAAGGACGGAGTTTGGTAAAAGATCTGGTCGGCGGGGTGCCTCTTCGCATGTTCTCATCAGAGGACCGAATAAAGGGAGAGTTTGGAGTGACAAAGGAACGGAAAGCTTGTTTAAGAGCGCACGAAATATGGCTACTTCACCGTAATCATCCACCGTATTCCTACGGCCCAGCATGACACACCACACGAAATGCCTCGAGTCTCGTCCCGGCCACTACTTGGCCAAAACTGCCAACGTGACTCTTTGCACCGAGCATGGGTGGCTTCGTGGAAAAGGAAGAATGGACAAAATACATGCATGCTCAGATTTCATTCAGTCGTTCAATCATAGCTCAGTTGTCAATAATAGTCACCTTGGGTGGCGTTCTGGACGGGAGATTGCCCTCCAAGCCGAATGGAAAAAGAAGTGGCACATCTGACGCAAAATACGCCCTGTATCCAATATAGCTGTAGAGGGCTCAACGACGAGAAAGTGGTCGCCATATCGAACACAGCTAACGGCGTAGATGAAGGACAGAGCGCCTCTATTTGCAGAGAACACTCATTACCAACGGGGGCCACCTCCGTTCTATTAACGAAGGCTTTGAGCGTGCCGCTTGCTTTCCATTTAGGCTTGTTCCTCAGGTGTAGACCTCTTCAGTCAGCGGATTCAAGGTCAGCCCTTCTTTAGCAATGTCTTCATCTGTAATGCAAGTCAGTGAACGCCAGAAAGGTCACAAGACACCTCACTTACTCTGAAGAAAACACAATGGCATCTCCACCAGAGTGCCCTTGACTTGACTCAGAAGTTCCTTCAGCTCGGTCACTCCCCCGGGGAAATCTGCTCTAACAACATGTCCGTACTCGACCCGAGGTGGCAGTTTGCTGGGCTTGCCTTGAGCCTGTACATCTGCATGGTTGTAGAAGTATTCATAAAACTCCTTGTAATCGGCCCAGGTATTCACATAGTCGTCAGGGATCGCTCTGAACGCCTTTCGGAAGACTTCGGTATTCGTCCTTGCTCGACTGTTCCACAGTGCCTGGAAGGTGTCGCTGAGGGGATCTGCCACGACATTATCTTCAGGTGAGCCCCAGTCATACGCATTTGGCACTCCGACTGGTTCAAAATTGGGGTCGGGCCTAAAGAAATGTTGAGGTCGGATCAAACCGAGATGTTTACGGGCCAGCTGTCTCCGCAAGGAGGCCGCAAAACCGCTTGCCTGGTACGGTTGGCCATTCATGTACGTCTGGACCGGCGTAGAGTCGTTGATCAGCAGAGCGATTTCACTGTCGTGTGATCCGAGTTGGCTTCGGTCGTTTAGGTTGGCAGACCCTAGAATGACAATTCGATCGTCTGCGATGAGACACTGCGACTGATTAGACAAAGAATAACTCGCATAACCTGTTATAATTACCTTGGAATGAATGTACAGTTCTTCGCTAACGAACGCATCGAGCTCAGATTCAGGAGGACCGTCCCAGGGGACAGTACGGATGTCCTGACCGCCAAGCATGTAACACTCCGCCACACTGTCCCACCGACCGCTTCCGGGGGTTGCCATTTGCTGTGCGGCGCTTTGATATTGCTGATATTGAGGAGCTTGAGACAATTGAGTGGTTCCTGTCTTCTCGCCGTACTGCCCATACCCGGCTCCCACGGCATCATCGTGCTGTTTCCGGGCATCTTCATATCTCACCCCGCTTTGTTGTTCGACTTGCTGCATGGTATTGCTGCAATTGATTCGATCGTAATTCCGGAGATTGTAGAATCGAATATAATCCATGGGATTGAAGCCAGCCTGCGCTATCTTTTCCATGATGCTGTGGCCACCACGGTTGATGCTGTTATATTGAAACTCCATTATGGCCCGGGTGGCCAGCGAAGAATCATCTCGAAGGTCACCAGCAAATGCTGGCACTGCTGGGATGACGACAATCATTTTGTATTTCTCGTTGTTCCGGGCTGCTCGAAGTATTCGTTCAACAATAGCCTGACCTATCAAGTTTTTGACCGGTTTTTGTTGATCGCCCGTGGCAGTGATGAAAAACTGATTCTCGATGTAGACGAAATGCTGACTATTCCGAATTATGTCGATATATGCATTCTGGATAGAATGCTCAAGGGGGGTTCCATTGCTCCACGTCGTACAGCTCCGAAGTACCTGACAGGTCATTACGGGTCGCGGTTGACTATACGGGCGCCCGTACGAGTCCGTACCACCAAGGTACTTGCCTTGAAGCTGGTGAGCTTTGTCTCCAAGCCCACCTGAGACAACATTGCCAATGGATGAGAGTTGTTGACCCAACAATTTGCCTTCGGTTTTGTACTGGTCAATTCTTCCTCGAAAGCCTCGCTCGCCTCCAAAGCCTCTTCCAGACTCGTTGCCCTGTCCATAATCATCAAAGCCCCTGGTAGACTCTTGGTTATATTCGTCGAAACCCCGAGCTTGCTCTGGGCCGGCCTGTTGATAAGGTTGATAGGGCTGATTTTGGTATGATTGGCTAGGTGATTGTTGAGACGAAAGTTCTGTCGGTCCTTGATGGTACGGCGCATAAGGGGGATTCGCGCTGGGCGGCGGTGGATATCCTGGATAAGTCTGCGTTGGGGCTGTTGATGCTTGAGGGGGAGGCCCAGGAGGTGGTGGAGGGAAACTCTGCTGAAAGGACTGTGCTGGAGGATGTTGGACAGGAGCTACCTGCTGCGGAGGGCTAGAGACTTGACCATAAGGTCCAGCAACGGGTTGAGGGATCGCTTGCGATGGAGGGGGAGGGATTTGGCCATAGCTACCGACAGAAGTCTGAGGGGGATGCTGCATTGGTGGTTGAGTTTGAGCTCCTTGGCTCGAGGGAGCCATGGTTTGACCATACGGTACTTCAGATTGTTGTGACTGAATCTGAGTGCCCTGGACAGAGGGAGTTGCTGTACTGCCATATGCACTAGTATTAGGTCCTGCTTGAGCCTGGTACTGACCCGTCGTCGGCGTGTGCGGCCTGCTGGTTGTATGCCACGCCGGTTCTGTGTAGGGTTGACTGCCTGGGGGTGGCGCGTATCCACCAGCTGGAGCAGGAGGTTGGAGGTGCCCTTGCGACTGTGGCCGTGATTGAGGTCGCTGACCTGGACCAGTCGCTGGGTGAGGAAAATCATCGAGGAGTCTATAGTACCGTTGGTCTTTGCGGACATTGTATTTCTCGTCGAAGATGAAGTTCCACCTATCGATGAAGTGGTGACGAAGGTCCTGGACACAAGCTCCTTGCAAACAAATAGCAATATCGGACCATCCCATCCTCGAGTTTTTGGTTCTGTCGAGCTTGTTCTGGAAAGGTTGTGCAACATCGCTGAAATCCATGACTCTAGCATTATTATAATCCTGACCAGGAAAGACGATGTCGTTCATGTTTGATGGGTGTGCATCAGCGATTGAATGCTGATTTGTGTCCCATCTACCAAAACAGAGATCTAAGCCACCCATGAACGCGATCCTGTCATCAATTAAGCATAGCTTTTCATGATGTGCCCAATAGAGGATGACGTCGTCGGTCATGCCGTAGACTCCCTTAATGGCATCTGCACCAAGCTTAGTGAGTCCCGCAGCATCAAGTTTCAGAGCTTGGAGAGAAGATATCAAGGACGATTGGGTCGTTTGAGCATCTGGTAGATGGTCCGGGTGACGGAAGACCGCAATATTGGGATGTAACTTCTCGAGTTCATGTTTAGTATGCGCCGAAGACAGAGTCAAAGCCTGGGTGACCTCTTTGTACACAATGACTTTGACCTTGACACCGCGTTGTGCCGCGCGTTGCAGCGTTCGATCGAGTCTCCATTGTTCATTTTGAGAGGGTGGACGGCGAAGATACAACTCAGGTGACAGCCACCAATCTAATATCCAGATCGAGTGCTTCGCTCCTTCGAGTGCTTGACTGACTGCCCAGAAGTAGCCACATCCATCAACATACCACTTGACATCGTTGCCTTGCTTCTCCGAAGCGAAGCTGTCATAGCGATTTGGGCCTGGTGGGATTCCTTGCGGTCCCGGCACACTTGTGTAGCCTGCATAACTAGTCTGGCCTGGAGCCGGCGGCCCATATTGCGCCGGGGGTCGATTGCCTGGACCTAGCAGGTTTGTGACGTCTGAGCCGATATTCTGCAGAGTGTTATGCAGTCCATCAAAGAGTTTGGATGCCAAATCCGGCCGGCCTTGCGCTTGCTGAGTCGGCGGGCCTCCCGGATAGGCAGATTGACCTATCTGGGGATATCCAGTACTGGGACCTTGGTGTCCGTAATACTGCTGGTTGGAGCCGGGGCCGGAGCCGGAATAGCCATAGTTTTGGGACGAGGAGGAAGAACTAGTCTTGTACTTGTCAAACTCGGATTTGAACTTCTTGAACGTGTCTCCCAGCAGCGATCGATCAGTGCCATCCTGTCCACCGCTGCCACGAGACTGCAAATAATCGTCACCGTATGCGAGTCCGTCGTCGTCCGGCCTCTGTGGGTAAGACATGGTGGGAATCCTGGATGATCTTGAACTGAGGCTGGATTCGAACGGGCAGGAGATGGAGAGGATACAGATGGCCACAAGAGAATTGCTCTTGGACGCGAAGAACAATGAGGGATGTCCAGCGGTGAACTCAAACGAGGCGGGCAGTCATCGAGGAGTTCGTTTCAGCCATGACCAGGGCGAGTGACTGACGTTTCAGCTGATTCATGCCATGTCAATCAAGTGAAGCACCGCCAAGCTAGGGCTCCACTGCATAATAGAGGGCGCCTGGGCGACTTGGCCGATGTTGAGCCAACCATGTTGCGTTCGGCGTGCTCGCGACACCCTCCACCTCGCCGAATGGCCCCAATAACGAGTTTGCAAAGCTTCGGCAGCTGCTGCGCCTCATTGCCCCGCCAAATACATCTCCCCCCTGGCAAGCTCTTGCAAGCTGCCCCTCGTCGCGGAAGGGCAATGGAAGAATGCTGGTTCTGGGAAGCTTCATGGCTTTCTCATCAACACGCAGACCTCCCTCGATCGTATTGGCACAGACATACCCCAGATATGGGAACAGATCGCATGTCTTCGTTCTGCCTTAGCATTCCTCCAGCTTCTCGAACTGCTAGACGGCAAGGCGGAAGCTATCTCGTTCCGAGCAGATCTGGGTTGTCTGGATGACCAAGATGACGGCAATTAGCCCGGATGATGGTTGATGCGGGGAGGGGAGCACAGCTTCAAGGAAATACAAGTGTTGACCAGTGCACATCTCCATGGGAGTCTCGTTGTGGATTGGCTCTATATATCCAACGTCCTTTTACCTCCATCATGTCTCTGCCTCTGCGTCCCCTACAACTTCTTACCTCCACCGCTGTTAGGTCAGCGCCTCGTCCTGCGTTGGGCTTCGTCAGACCTCAGAGGTTGCAATTCCATCGACCAGCATCCAACATGTCTCTCGCAACTCTGGATGTACGTTGTCACACCCCGAGGAGGAGCGAACATGGCAGCTAATATTGTTAGGTATCGCAACATCCCAACCTGCCCAAGTCCTCTGTGACCTTGTTCGAAGCGAAGGCGAAAAAGAAGGCGACTTTTGAGGCAATTGCCAAGGCGATTGGTCGAGATGAGGTTGCGGTGGCTGCTCTGTTCTACGGACAAGCGACAGCGTCGCCAGAGGATATCCAGGCGCTATCAGACTATTTTGACATTGACCATGAAATCCTCGAGGCACAAATGAGCGGGTTCCCAGACCGTGGAAAGAGCGTGGAGATGCCGCCGAAGGAACCACTCATCTATCGCTTGTACGAGATCGTCCAGAATTACGGATATGCGTATAAAGCGGTCATGAACGAGAAGTTTGGCGACGGTATCATGAGCGCAATTGCTTTCTCCACCAAAGTCGAGAAAGAGGTCGACAAGGACGGCGTTACATGGGTAAGACTATCAACGCGTCCCAGAGCTCGGGGCTGATCTGATGCAGGCGAAAATCACCCTTCGAGGCAAATGGCTCCCCTTCACCCGATTCTAGATATCAAACATATAATTATCGTAGAGGGTTATCCAACTGGTGCAACCCAGGTACTGTTATGAGTATGGACGAAACCAAACCACGCCCAGGACCAGACCCCTAGGTATCTTGTTTGTTCTTTTCCTCACCGGGCAACAACTTGATTGTGCAAGCCCTTCTGCATTCCAATGCTTTGTGTGTGCGAAGAACAATACTAAACGAGAACAATATTAAGCCTCGTCCCCCTGTGCTCAGCCTTGCCGCACCTCTTTATTTGGCGGCGACTCTCAATCTTCCATGACCCAATGGGGAACTGAGAACAGAATTCTTTTGAAGTGCTTTCAGTTCGCCAGTCTTTAGGCAATATGCTGAGATAAGGTATATATACCCTCCCCATTCCCGACCGATCTACCTCTCGCACATACAATTTCACTCACGTCCAACTCAACTACAAGTCACTCTTTTACAGAAAGCCCATCGCTTATTACCATACCACGTAAAAATGGCTACCCAAATGTACACTTGCGTCGTTCAATAGACGAGCACTATTTTTCCAGTCCTTTCATTACCAACCCTGAATTCGACAGCGACAACACCCTCGGTCAGATTCTACCGAAAGCCATCAACATGGCCACCCAGATGTACACGTGCATCGTTCAATAGCGTGCTCCCTCATCATGATAGCACGCAGGGAGGCGCAGGCGCCTTCTGACGATATCATCTTCGACATGCCCTCGCGTCACGGTCGCTGAACAAGGATCCGAGCTGGCCGTCTCATCTGGTGTGAGAAGGTTCGTCCATTAGTGGCCATGATTCGCGCGGTGGTATGTTGAATTCGCTGCTATAATGCTGCGATCTTGGGGTGTTCCAGCAGTTCAGCGGCGTACCGCAGCGACCTGCACCCAATCCCACTCCTGTTCACTTCTATTCGAAATATACACATTGCTATCCACACGATTGTGCAAGACATTTTGCCACTCTCTGGCACAGCATCCTCCCCTAGAAATGGCATGTTTCGCCATGGTTCAGACACAGCGAGCAGAAAGCATTGGTACTGAGCGTGTCTCCGTTCACCTATTCAGACGCTGATAAGTGCTTTCTGCCATTTTGCTTTTCTGGCTGGTCGGCTGCCAGACGTGGTACTAGGTATTGCAAAATGCAGATATCTCCAGTGGACGCACTGGGAGTTTTGCCTATGTAATAAATACCATTCAGTTCTCTCAGATATTCTAGGGCAATTCGATTGTGTGTTTCTTGACCTTTTGGTATTCGTCGACTCTTTTGTTACGTTCCTCGCGGGCTCGAACTATTCGTGCCCAGCCTACATCTAGTTATCTTTTTTTTCCCTTAAACTGTTTTCTCCATACGAGGATCCCCCTAAAAAGGGCCAAGACTGAGGAGATAATTCAAAAGAAAGCTAAGCGAAAAAAAATATGCAAAATATAAAAAAACGACAGCTACAGGATTTGAACCTGTGCGGGCGAACCCAGCAGATTACGATTTTGGTCCTAGGATGGACCATTCGAGTCTGCCGCCTTCTACATTTTGTTAGAAAATAAGCCTGGACACGGGTCGGCACCTCAATTTTACTTACAACCACTCGGCCAAACTGTCGGGGCATTTTACCCTCGAATTTTGGCTATTATAATATAGAACCTTTTTTTTTTGAGTGATGACTAAGAGGCACGTGGCCACGATGTCTGATGTACGTTTTCGCCCGTTATCGGTAGAGATGCCAACATTTCCATTGCGCGGAAAAGAAAAGGCTAGGTCTTCGGTGGGTTTGGTTCTCCAGAAGTGATGAAGAATACGACGGATGAGAGTTTGTAACACATTTTGCAACGAGAGAATCTGAACTGCGTGAACGGTCTATATGCCCCTCGTCACAGGGTTGTCTCCGTCGGAGTAGGCGACTGACTAGCGAAGAATACTGGAGGAGTTTGTGTGGAAAGCAAAGCACCTCGACATCAAAGTACTACATGCATTTCAATCCAACGGGTGTGGTTGATGGATGTACAGCAGCGGCCGCTAAAATAGCCCCATCTCCTCTCTCTCTTTCTCTTTCTCTTCGTTCTTTTCGCCTTTCTTTCCCGTCATCATGGCGACGCCCTCCGAGTCCGGCACGGAGCAGCATCTCGCGCTGCAGCGCCAAAGAAGGCTCTTCGACGACTACCGTAGCTTCGTGCACGCTTCGACGTTCGCGGCGTGTTTCCTCGCACCGGCCCTGATCGCCCTCCCGCCCCGCAAGCTGGATCTGTACACCTTCTCCCTGGCCGGCGCGTTCGTCGCGTCGGCGAACTACCAGCTCAGAGAGCGGACGGGGACGGGGTTTATGGGCCACGCTTCACGGCGTTGGCATTTTCACGACAGGCCGTTACCCCCGCCGCGACAGGGCCATGGCCAGGACGACGATGCTAGTAACTCCGTATATGGATATCAACGGATACCCCTCGAACCGATGGTGCAGGACGCGGAGCGGAGGAACGGGACGTCCACCTTACGGGATCAAGCTCGCGGAGCTTGGACGGGTGCGCAGAGCGAGGACTGGAAACAACGCCGCTTAAAAGAAGAACAGGAGAAACTCGAGCAGGGCGAAGGTTATGGAAGCATGATTGTCGACCAGATTTGGGAAGTTTGGAACCAAGGCGAGAAGAAAGTTGAGGAGTTGAAAGAGACGGACGAAGAGGTTGTACAGAAGCGGAACGACCGTGGTTGAAAGAAGAGTTTCAACTTCATATTGCTGCCCTACCCCGGCTGTGATATATGAATCCGGACTGCCATCTGAGCATCTGACATAGGTCCAGATCTGTGTATGGGAGATCTCTGCCGGGCCACGCCATATCCCACTTGCTGCCTATCACGAGGTCTGGAGGCCTCCTTGGGTTTTTCAAGACACCCGCACAGCCAGCGTGCACGCTCCGCATGATGTCCGTCTACCATCACTCCCCTTACCATCTACTCTTGCTCACAACCTGGTTCCGACACACCTCGAGCGCCGCGATAACTGGCATAGCTTCTCTCATACCTCCTCGCATCCGCCTCGACCTGGAAATCCCGCACTTTGATGCCCTGTCTCAGCACCTCGTCTCGTGCCCTCTCGCTGTTTTCAGTCTGCCGGTCTCGCTGTTTGGCTTCACCATCCGTAATGATGATGGGGACACGAGCTGCACATGTTCGTCTGTGAAGTGGCGTCATTTGAGGCCTGTTCGCTGAATTGGTGATCACATTGGCCATATCCACCTTTGGGCAGCTGGCTTTGTTGGCGGTGGAAAGATGCGGGCTGCGAGACGGGGTTTGTGCGGCTTGCTCATGTCTGCTGGTCCATGAGCTTTTAACCTTGATTGGCGTTGATGTCTGTTCTCACGGTGATGGTATCAATCAGATTACCGACCAGAGACTTCACTTTTGGTGTCCTGACGACGGGCGTGGACTGATCAGTCGATGAGTCCAAGAAAGCGTTGAGTCCACATGCGCATGGCCTAGTCCGTCGCCTGAAAGAAGCAGTTCGGACTTTAATTGCAGCTCTGGTCAGACTGCTGTTTACTATTGTGAATGATCCACGTACAATACTGGCACGGAAGTAAAAGGAGAGTGGAATTTCGAGCCAGGGTGTCCCTTGTCCAAAAAGCAGTTGGGCTGTTTTGACATTTCAAAACGGACCGAGCCACCAATTTATGCCAACTGCTCAGTAGTACAGGAAAGCGGGATGACAGAGATTGGACTGAGCGGTGCTATTGAGGGCGTGGGTTTAAGTTCGAGTTGTGTGACACAACAAGAACTTATACTGTGTACTGCGAATTGAGGATGTGTGCGCAGAGGAGCACTTTACGATTGTTCTTTCACGAAAAGGGCACCACGAAGTATCGGCATTGACTTGGCATTCATTCCAAAGCCGAGCAATCCAGTATTATCTGCTGGGCAATGCCGTTTTATTCAATGCCTTGACCCTCGGCGTTTCTTCTTGCTCGAATGTCCGTTTGTTCCGTCGTTATTTGGCTCGGTGTGCGGCCTCTTCCCATTGCGGGTCTCTTGGTCAACTGGGGTGGTCGCTGTAGCTAGCTTGGGTTCGTGCCTTTCTTTCTGCTTCTTCTTTTTGGGACCTTTGGCGCTCCCGGTCGAATCACCGCTCTGTCTCTTGCGTTTCTTGTCCAGCCTCGCCTTTTTGCGTTCTTCTTTCGCGCGTGATCTTGCCTCGACTCTTTTCAAAAATGAATCGTCCTCCTCCTTGGGGGCCAGTCCCTCTTGCTCATGACCCTTTTTTGATCGCTTTGGCAGGGGCTCGTTTTGAGAGACAATGCCTGAATCTGGCTGCTGGCCAGAAGCTTTCCGCTTGGGACGGTCCTTGGCTTTCACCGCAGTAACAGGCTTCTCTTTGTATAGCTGATCGATTGGGGTAGGATTCGTGTCGACTGTAAAAAGGCCGCTGGGATCCAGCAATGGCTCGGTAGCTAGGTGAGCATTCGACTTAGCTGTTGTCGCCGGCATGGGGACGGTGGGTAATTGCGCTTCAGGTGCTCTCGCATCCTCCTTAATGTTCTGCTCTTCACGTTTGGTGATTTCTGCCAATGACTCGGTAGATAATTTGAACGTTGCGATCAGACTCTCGGTGGTGAGTAGGCGCGTTTGCACCAAATCCAGGGTAGCACTGCTGTCAACACAAAATTTCCGCATTTCTGCCAATAACGAAGCGTGGGAGTCGAGCAAGATCAGGAGCGAGTTGTGCTGGTGTAAAAACTGCAGCCGATGTCAGTGTATGACGAGAAAAAGGTTTGGTTAGATTTTCCACATACTGCTTCCCATGTTTTATCACCAATCTCTGTGGCCATCTTGACGATATGGTGCTGGCTCCAGCTAACTGCAAGGCTACGTTGAGGCTGCGATTTTTCAGGAATGAGGAACGGACTCGAATCGCCCGCCAGTCCGCGATTTCTCCAACTGCAGGATGCGGAGAGGCAGTTGAAGATTCACCGTATTGACCGTATTGACCGTATTGACCGTATTACCAAGCTCCTCGCTATGTAACCTCCTCGCCTCATCGGTCTTGCGGCTTGGCGATTTCGCTACGGTAGAGCATTCGATCTTTGGCCGCTCGTCTGATATTCGACTTCAAGTCATCGCTTCCTCACACCTTCTTTGTCTAATTGCCTTCCATCGCAAGTTCTTCAGAAGGCGTTCGACGCAGTGACAGCCAAATGGAGAAGTTGAAGGCACTATGCCCTCTCCAAAACCTGATATTCGATTGCTCAGCCGTGTATCTATCAACAAGCTACGGAGGTGTCGACGCCGGAGACTCGGCTGAAGGCGAGGTGATGAGGTGAAGATCGAGAGGGGACAGACGCTAACTGTGGCTTTTCATAGAGACTGGTAGCTGGCACAGCTGTACAGGATGGCGTCGACCCAAGAATCTCGCTTATGGCCCTCAACCCTCTTCACAGTCCCGTGGTCGCTCAGGAGGTGTAGCAGCCTTGAATGGCTCCCTATTGATGCCCGTTAAGAACATGACTCGAAGATGCATTGAGAGGAGTCCCATTCCAGCAGCGCTATTGCCATTGAGACTGATTGTGCTGGGCTATTCAAAGGTCGAGGTTGCCCAGCCTATTGTCGTTGCTCCTGCCGCCTAAGCCGTGGGCGCCCTGGACGCACCCGCCTCGATGGCTTCCCTCCTCCTCCTCTCTCTTCTGTCAGCCGCCTCATTTTCTTTTCCTTCTTCTTCTTCCTCCTCCTCCTCGACTCTCTTCATCTCACTTCACTTAATACAAAAGCTTCAGCTTTGCTAGTTCAAGACCCCCGCTGTTAGCTTCTCCTCCCTCTTATCATCCATCCAGCACTGCATCTTGGTTGCTCATTCTCATTTCCCCGTTTGCTGCTCTATTCATTGGGTTCCATCCCATTTCTACACCCCCAATCCCCCAGGAAAGCCACAGAGAGGCGTGGTCTCAAGCTGCTCTTGTGGTGGCGACGTTGCGGGTGAGTCCAATCGGATCAAGACATTCTCGTTTGAGATGCCTACCCTTGCTATCAGAAGCATACTGACTTTCGAGTACCAGAGATCAGCAGAAATGTCTGACAAACCTGCAACCCAATCTGCCTCGGGCACTGCATATGCTGGCTACCCCCAGTCAAGAATGCCATACACTGCATCGGGCTATCAACAGTACAATGGAGGTAAGAGCTAGACCGCACAGTCGGAGTGACAATTGCTCACCATGCAACAGCCATGAACATGACCAATTCCAACCCTCTTGCCAACATGCAGAACCTTAAAGCTACCTTGCCAACCTCTGCTTCTGTTGAGACTGAGATGAATGCAGTCAATCGTCCAGGATACAGCAGTCCTTTGATGGTGTTGCCATCTGGTCAAGCCGTGCCGCTCCCCAGCTTCTACGGCCAGAACCAGACCACGGCCGGAGAAGGTACCTCCCAATTGCCCTACGTTCCCACTGGAATGTTTCCAAGCTTCATTGGCAACGCCAGCATGACTACAAGCACTCTCCCAGGATATGGTTGGCCATACAATCTCGCATCCAACGTTGCCGGGTTTGATCCAGGTCGTCGGGGCTCCTGGTCTTCTAACGAAGAGAATGCTCCCAACAACCAGGCCGTCGCACTTCAAGGTCAATCGGACTACTATAACACCATGCCCTACCTATCGGCGACGCCTGCCAGCCAACACTATATTGCGGGACCTATTCAACCCATGAAGTGCCAGGACAACAAGTCCTATGAGATGGTCAATCTTGATGAGCTAGTCAACCGTGATCCTCCCATACCTCGTGCAGTGCCTGCTATGTGGACAAACCAAGAAGAACTCAGCCTGGCCAAATGTCTTCAGAACCCTGAGGGTATCACCAATGTTTACATTCGTGGCTTCATGCCGGATACCACTGATGAAGATCTCGAACGCTGGGCTTCTCGCTTTGGAGAGATCGAGTCATGCAAGGCCATCATTGAACAGGACACTGGCAAGTGCAAAGGGTCCGTTGCCCCACCTCATTGATATGTTTACCCACGCTAACATTATCTAGGTTCGGGTTCGTCATGTACTATTCTCCTGCTGCCGCAGAGAATTGTATCCGCGGTTTCTTCCATCTTGGCTTTCAAGCCAGCTATGCCCAGGTCAGCACACTGTCATTGTACCTCACTTCCATCTAACGCGCTCAGAAATCTCGCAATTCTCGACTCAAGGACCTTGAAGATAAGAACTCCACAAACATCTACTGCACCGGGGTTCCCATTGACTGGAATGAATCGGTTTGTGCTCTCCTATTATGCTTTTCATCTTGACTAAAATGACCAGGACCTGGCCAAACACTTTCTACCATATCACGCCGTCTCCACCAAGATCTGCCGCGATGCTCCGTCCGGAGTCAGCAAAGAAGTTGGCTTCGCCAGGTATTGAAAGAAGTCTCATGCCTTTAGAGCTCACGTTGCTGACCGTCCCAGATTCGAAACCCGTGAGATTGCAGAACGTGTCATCAAGGAGTTCCACTCCGTCCTCAATGAGCACGACGGCATCAAGTTGTTCCTCCGCTTTGCCGACACTAAGGCTCAGAAGCAACTCAAACAACAGAGTCAAGAGCGGCGCAACTGGCGCAGCCGAGAGTACAGCTATTCGGTTGAGCACACTCCCTCTCCAACTCTATCCCGACTGCAGAACATGAACAACCACATCAGTCCGAATGGCAGTTACCAGTCACCGGCTGGAACTACCAATGGCTTCACTCCAGCGACGTCAGTCTCTCCGCCGTAAGTTTGCCTTACTGCCCAAGCCCCTTTGCCTTTCAAGTTCACTGACTTTTTGTTCCTCAGTGAGCTGCCAGGTGTCAGCAACAAGGCTGTGAACATGGTTCGCAACTCCACGTCGAGTTGGCCGATGCAAGGGGGCCTGCAGTCAATTACCAACTCCACCACTGTTCGAACCAACCTTCCGGTCAATGCAGCACCTCATCCTTACATTGAAGTCCCGGCCAGGTCTGGTACTTCCATTGCAATCATCGCGGACAATTGCGACCCAAGCAAGAAGACCAAGACTCCAAGTCCCAAGAAGGTCACCATTAGAGTTGAGCCAGCCAGCGGCAAGGAGAACTACACCACCACTTCTCCGCAGTCCAGCAAGTGAGCCAGCCACGTCAGAACTGCCAAGGACATCCATTCTCGCATGCTTCGAATTATTTTTGGCGTGCATCTTGTTCTTGGCCTGCTGGTACTACTCATCTTGATTCCTTTTGCTCATT